ACTCAAATAAAACTGTCAAGTATTGTGACTGGCAGAGAAAATTGGGGAAAGGAAATTAATTAGGTGAATGCAACATAATTTCTTTTTTTAAAAAAATATATTTTTATATTTGGAACTTTTTACTTGTGTCCAGTTATTCAGCTGCTAATTTCAATGTAAATAATAAATTATTTCAATTTTACAAATATTTATAGAGTCATGTATGCATATAATATTATCCAAAAGATAACAATTTTGTTGAACTAAGAATCCTATGCTTCAGAGTTTCAATTTAGGAACCCAAACAGAAATACTAGACTTAGACCCTTACTTATAAGCACCGGCCAGCAATACATATTGTCATCTGCAGTATGAATAAAAGATCCATGGTGCTACAGTGGTTAAGTGTTCAGTTGCTGACCAAAAGATTGGTGGTTTGAACCTACCAGTCACTCCATTGGAGCAAGATGTGGCTTTGCTTCCATAAATATTACAGCCTTGGAAACTTAATTGTTGCTTCTGTTAAGTGTTGTTGAGTAGGTTCTTACTCATAGAAACCCTCTAATAGGGTTGAGGAGCAGCTGGTGGGCTTGAACTTCCAACCTTGTGATTCACAGTCCAGTGCTGATCCTGCACTGCATGCAAGCCACACCAGAAAACTTAACGGAGCACTTTTATTCTGTGCTATAAGGTTACTATGAGTCAGAACTGATTTGACAGCAATGGATAATATCAATTGTGGTTGCTTTCCCTCCTCATCTCTCTTCCTCCACTTCCTATAATCAAAGTTGTTAAGAGTTTTGAAGACCAAACTGAATAGTTTTCATTCTTGTGCATCTTTACCAGCACATCTCAGACTCAGAAAACTTGAGAACAGCTGCCACTACTATGCTCCCCCCAAACTTTGTATCCACCACTTCCCTGTTTTCCCATAGCAATGCTCCTTGACTCCCATCTCCTTTGCCCCCACGACCAGGACTCCTCCCTCCATTGCTGACTCACTCCACCCACTATTTGAACATCAACTCCTCCCTCCAACCTCTCACAAACTCACCCAGGTGCTGTAGCCAGAAGAGAATGCAAACTTTTTTCACCTTTTTTGGCTCCCTCTGGGTGTAGTGGCTGAAATTCAGTCTTGTTCCATACACTGCATGGAGTTAAGAAAAGGGAGAACACCCTATTTATTGCTCAAGTTATCAAAGCTTTGTTGTTGTTGTTAATTTCCGTCAGTTGGTTCCAACTCATACCAACCCTGTATTGGGTTTCCGAGGAGAGGCTGGTGAGTTTGAATTGCTGACCTTGCGGTCAAACTGACCTTGCAGTCCAGTACTTATCCTACAACACTATGCCAGAACGCTGTAGTTTTAGATTGTGGTAGTCTGGTCATATACAGACAAATATGAAATTTTTCATTTAATAACTGCATGGGACTGACAACAACAAGGGCATGGAGAAGTTTATTTTCTAATAAATAACACACATTTTTTGGGGGGAGCATCTATTGCCTAAAAGGAATCCTAGTGAATTGCTGCCGGCTAATGCGCTAGACTGCAAGGTCGGTTTGAACTGCAAGGTCCGCGGTTCAAGCAACTGACTCGATGGCACTAAACAACAACAATTGCATAAATAGAGTTCTGGTGTGGCACTGTGGGAAAAGCACTGGACCAAAACGAGGATTAGAACGACAAGATCGGCGGTTCAAACTCACCAGCTGCTACTCGGAAACCCTATACAGGCTCGCTATAGATCAGAACGAAATCATCCGCACTTAGTAACAACACCACCGCATAAAAGGGAGCGTGCTGGTTCTATACCATAAGCAATGGCCTACAAACCAGAAGGCTGGCGGTTTGAGACCACCGGTATCTCCGCATAACATTTTCCGCTCCCACAAAGATGGACAGCCCTGGAAACACTAAACAAAAATCGCTATGAGTCAGAACCGACTCGATAGTACTTAACAATGATAGCAGTAGCAACAACTCCAATTCCATGTAAAGCACCAGAGGATTTCAGTATTTAGTTAGCACATTAGTCCAATGATGCTCACTTAGTATCAGTATTGTGCTAGACACAGAAGTATAAAAGGGAGTATGAGAAGCTTAAATTCTCTTGTTGTTGTTGTTAAGTACCATGGAGTTGATTCCAACTCACAGTGACCCGTACAGGGTTTCCAAGGCTGTAAATCTTTACGGGAGCAGAACGCTTCATCTTTCTCCTGCGGAACCGCTGGTAGTTTCGAACTGATGACCTTGAGGTTGGCAGCCTAACTCGTAACCATTATCCTACCAGAGCTCCTTTGCAAATTCTCTAGGAAACCATAAATATAAATTGTCATTGTTAAATGCCGTCGAGTAGGTTCTGACCCCTAGTACCCTGTATAGAGTTTCCGAGGAGGGCTGGTAAGCTTGAACTGCCGACCTTGTCATACAAACTGACTTTGCAGTTTTGCCACAGTACTGTAGGCAATTGAAATATAATCGGATAGATCTTAGGTAAATGTGAGACTATGGTAGTTCTAGTATAGAATTCTGTCTTCTGTGGAGAAGACCTGGGTTCAATTCCTACCCAATCTTCCTCAAGAGCCTCACTACTGTCTTACGGTGGGGCTTGTGTGTTGATATGATGCTGAACAGGCTTCACTGGAACGTCCAGACTGAGACAGAGAGGAAGAGACTTGGTGATCTGCTTTTAAAATTAGCCCAAGAAAATTTTATGGATCACAGTGATCAAATCCCGAGTGCAGGGGCCCCCAAGGAGTTGACACTGACTTGACAGCAACTAGCAGCAACCAAGATAAGTGTACAATGAGGGTGGTCTAGAGGTCTAGTTGTTGTTAAGTGCCATCGAGTTGGTCCTGACCCAAAGCAACCCTGTATAGAGTTTCCAAGGAGCTGCTCAAGTGAGCTTCAACTGCCGGTCTTGCGGTTCAAACCAACCTTGCATTCCAGCACATTAACCCACAGCACCACACCAGCACTCCAGAGGCATCTAGTGGGCATATTTAATTCATCCTGGAGGTTTAGCGGAAGCGTCCTGAAAGAACCCAGGGCTGAGCTGATTAGGACTTTGTCCCCTCTCTTACAAAGATAATATGCAAACACATATAAAAGTGAGTCTGTATACAGTTTTATTTGTATAACAATTCAGCTGAATAATGTGGAAAAGGCTTTGATGGGCATACTGAGACCATAACCAATCTTCATAGCATTCTTTAATTAAAATGGGGAAATGCATTTCTGTTTCAAATAGTCACCTTACAAGAAATATATTTTGGTACCTAAATGCCTGTTTAGAATAAAGAATATCACCAAACTGTGGAAAAGATGAACGAAAATAGCACTCCGGTGCTTTTTGTAATTGGTGGTGAATACATTAAAAACACTTTGTGTTTTATATGAATGAAAATGCATAATTTTATCCATTATGCATTCTGAGCATTGGTTGGAGAAATACATGTCTTCATTGTTTACATCTCTTGACTTTATTATAATGGTAGTTATGAATGAGTTGAGCATTACTTGTGTACTATACAATGTAAAGTGTATTCAAAGAAATGAACCTCTGAGCCTCCAGGGATTACATTCTCAGTTCTATAAACTCAATTATCATATACATGAAAAAGCTGTTTAATCTCAGTGCTTCAGATTCCACACACAAGCAAAAAGAATGCATGGATGGAGTTGAAGTGATTTCCCCCTAGGAGGAATACTTTTAAAGCCATATCTGTATGAAAAAAGTATCATTATTATTATCAATTAGTAAACTGAAGTGGGGAAGGTTGGTAATAGAAAGGCTGTTAACAGCAATTCCTCATAATAAGCCTGCGATATAGTTTTAATTATCTTGGTTTATGTAAAATACTGAGGTTCAATAAAGAACAAACAAAGATTTAAAACCCAGCATTGCCCCATCTAAACCTTACTTTTATTCCACTGTGATCTGTCTCCCTTATGTTTCATTAATATTTATAAAATTGCAATTTGTTGTTTATTCATTTTGAAATCATTGACAACTTTTTATAAGTTCCTGTGGATTACATCTCAACGTAAAGAAACAAAAATTCTCACCACTGGACCAATAAACAACATTCTTATCATCAGAGAAAAGACTGAAGTTTTCAAGGACTTTACTCTTCTTGGATCAACCATCAACAATCATTGAAGCAGCAGTCAAGAAATCAAACAACATCTTGCATTAGGCAAATCTGCTGCACAAGACCTTTTTAAAGTGTTGAAGAGCAAATATGTCAGCTTGAAGACTAAGGTGCGCCTGACCCAAGCCATGGTATTTTAAATAACCTCATATGCATGTAAAACCTGGAAAGTAAATAAGGAAGACCGGAGAAGAATTGATGCTTTTGAGTTATGGTGTTGGAGGAGAATATTGAAAGTGCCATGGGCTGCCAAAAGAACCAACAGATCTGTGTTGTAAGAAGTGCAGCCAGAGTGCTCCTTGGAGGTCAGGATGACCAAACTTAATCTCTCATACTTTGGACATGTTGTCGGGAGGGACCAGTCACTGAAGAAGGATATCATGTTTGGTAAGGTGGAAGATCAGAGGAAAAGAGGAAGAACCCCAGCCAGATGGATTGGCAAAGTGGCAGCATCAATGGGCTCATGAGTGGCAATAATTGTGAGGTTGGCTCAGGACCACACAGTGTTTTGTTCTGTTGTGCATAGGATCACTATGAGTCAGTACCGACTCGATGGCACTTAACAACAACAACATTAATGTAGTTACTCTTCTGAACTCAAACTTTCTAAAGCAGGAATTGACAATTTTTTTTTTTTGTAAAGGGCCAGTTAATAAATATTTTAAGTTTTGTGGTTGATATGGTTTATGTGGCAACTTGCTATCGTGTCAGGATAGAACAGGCAGTAAACAGCACATAAATTAATGTGTGGTTCTAACAAAACTTTATTTACAAAATGGCTGGAAATTAACTTTGGCTTGAGGTTAGTAGTTTCCTAAGTACATCTTTGAAGAGTGGATAGACTTCTGCACAATTTCAGAGGACAATGATAAGTACTGAAGCACGTGAAGGTTGTAGTGGGAGTGTAGATAAAGGAATAGTTAATTGTGCTTTAACAGTCAAAACAAGACTCACAGGAAAAATGAGGGTTAAATTAAGTCTTGATGAAGGAGTAGATGGTAAGATGGTTGTTGTTGTTAACTGCCATCAAGTTGATTCTGACCCATAGCGACCCTGTATAGGGTTTTTGAGGAGCAGCTGGTGAGCTTGAACCACTGAACTTGCAGTTCAAATGGCTTTGCAGTCTGGCGCATTTATCCACAGTGCCACATCAGGATTCCAGGTGGTAAGGTGGACAATCAGAAATAATTTCAGGCTGAGGCTACAGGTTACACACATGTATAGAGGAGTGAGAAAATGCGGTGTATTCCAAGAACCATGACAATTTTGAAGTTACTGGAGTATAAAAGTGGAAGGAAAGAGTGATGATAACCAGGGTTCCCTTAGCATCAGTCTGTGCAATGTAGTGCTTTATTTGTTGTTGTTAAGTGCCGTCGAGTCGGTTCTGATCCATAGCTATCCTGAACAGGGTTTCCAAGGCTGTAAATCTTTATGGGAGCAGAAAGCCTCATCTTTCTCCGGTGGAGCAGTTAGTAACCTTGCAGTTCACAGCCAGATTCGTAACCACTACGCTACCAGAGCTCCTTGTAATGCTTTCTAGACCTGTGCTATTTTTGTGATGTACAGGGTTTAGTCTCACTAGATTTAAAGCATCCAAAATGAAAGAGAAGGGTTATATGATCTGTTGTTTTTATATCACTTTGCTTAATAGCATGTGTGTTGTACCTAGAGTTATGCTATATGGATTCTCTTAAGGACTCTTAGCAAGTACTACTCTTTTCCTTATAGAATGTCATATGCTTTTATACCCAATTGGTTTTCACTGTCAGAAAAGATGGCAATCTCTAGTTCATAGATACAGTGACTGGGTTCCAGAAATAGGAGGGTAAGTCAAATGCACTGCTACAAAATAATAGAAACCTTTATTGAACAAAAATAGCAAAATGTGAAGTTATGGTTTCTAGACAAATCCTCCATCTAGGTTCATACACTTCTGAGGTAGTTTTTCCAACATTTCCCTGAATAATTCTAAAAGTCTTTGATTTGCACAACATTAAAGTAGGAGTTTTGGCATCCTTGAGGGATTCAATTAATATTCCTTTTAAATGTTATTTGCGTTTATATGTTCTTCAGACAAAAAGAAATCTGAAGAGGTAAGATCAGGGCTGTAGGGTCAAAGGGGTAGGGATTGCCAATGAAATTGTCGTTGGAAAGACCTTGCTACCCCTGAACAATGTTTAAGTGCATTGTCATGATAGCAAAAAAACCAAACAAACAAACAAAAAACCCTCAGTGTACCTTTCTTGTCCTTTGTCTCACCAATTCAGTTTTCAGTTTTCTTAAAAGTTCTTCCTAATTAGTTCCCATGATCTTCCTTTGTTAAACAAGAAAATCCATCAAGATTACCTTTTGGAATCCCAAAATAAGAGTCACGATAACCTTCTGAGCTGTCTTCTCTGCCTTGAGTTTACCTGGCCCACTGAATCCCCTAGGAAGCCACTGTTAGGTCTAGCATATTTTTTTGAGGGTACCTTAATGAGACTAATAGCATTACAAATAGAGCTTGCCTGTTGCCATCTACTGATCCCAGAAACATATTAAAAAATGTTTGGTTTGGCCTAAACCTGTACATGTGTGAACTAGAGCCCTAGTAACAGTACTTCATGATTTACCTTTATATGAAATGACACCCACAAGTTCCCTCTGTCAGTATTTCTCCTTGGTTCTAATTTACTGTTGCATCCCTAGCATTCTGCTATTGATCCATACTGTATTGTTAATGCTATTTGTAAATAATCTGATAGGACTTTCAAACTATTTTCTCTTTTCAGAAGAAATAAACACATCTTTAAAAAGACAAGAAGACTAACTTCTCAGTTTTGTTTGCAGATTTCTTTATGGAAAATCTGTTTAGTAGCTGCCCTATCTTTTATGAGTATCCACAGCAGGACAATTTGATTTTGTTAATTTATTAGTGTCTTATTTTAGGTTATAGAACCTGAGGAAGCTGTGACTACAGAAAATGCCTAATGAAAAATTATAATATCCTACTTAACAGGGGCAACACAAGAATAATAAGTTAAAAAAATACTTTTATTCATAAGAGCTCCGAAAAGCACAAATGAATAATAGAATACATTAATAAGTGATTTCATTAAAATGTTCTGCTTTACATAACTAAGAATTAGATTTTATAGATTATTCCTAGTCTGTATTTTATGAGAAACAACTTGCAGGTCCCCAAGAAATACTGTGAAGCTGCTATAATGTATACTTCAGTGACACTATCCTGGTTTCACTATTCAGTGGAGTCTGGTGTGGCACTGTATGTTAATGCATTGGACAGCAAACCTGATTTGAACTGTAAGGTCGGTGGTTCAAGCTCATCAGCCACTCCTTGGAAACCCTACACAGGGTCACTATAGGTCAGAATCGACTCGATGACACTTAACAACAACTACATCATCCTGATTTAACACTGGAATGATAACCACAGTGGTTCAAATCTACTAGCCACTCCTTTTACAAGGTCACTATGAGTCAGAACAGACACCATGGCACTTAACAACAACAATGGATTCTATGAATTTGCAAACTCTCATTATTTTATAGATGAAGAACTGTGGCTCTCATCGACAACATAACTGTTTCTTTATCACAAAGGTATGTGCTGTGCTGCCACCATGGCCTACACGCATTTCTCTGTGTGTATCTGTTTTCGTTTGTTTCCATTATTAGGCCTTCTTGATCAAGAATGAGATCTTGCCATTTCAGCACTGAGGATTGCCCAAGGTTAATTGATAAATTTACTAAAGTTGAGTTTGTTAATACTAAAGAGAGATTCTCGTTATTATTAAGACCTCTTTGTTTGACATTTCACAATATAACTTTACAGTCATTTATTAAAACTAAAACTCTGTCTTGTAGTTACTAAGGGTAGTTGATCTTGTTGATTATATTTTCTTAGTATTAACAAATACTGTAGCCCAAATTTCATTCTGTAGCCTGAATTTCATTCTGATTGGCAGCATTTATGTTTTATTGTTGTTGTGAAGTGCTGCTTAATTGATTCCGACCCATAGTGATTCTGTGTAGGGTTTCTGAGCAGCAGCTGGTAAGCTTGAACCACCAGCCATGGGGTTGAAACCAACTTTATAGTCCAGTACAGTAACCCACAGCACCACACCAGACCTCTACATTTATATTTTAGACGTTTTTTGAAAACTTTGAAGCCAGTTTTTCTTTTTTGGGCATAAGTGAAGGAAATGGGAATCCTTGGGAGGGATGTTTTCATTATACATCTCTTAAATTAGCAATCATTAGCTTTTTTATGACATGCTTCAATTATATCATAAAATGTTAAATCTATAACAAACTTTCCTGAAGTATAACATCCATAAATATGGATTACTTTGGCAAAATAATCCATGGTCTGTATTTACATTATAGTTTATTGATTCATAAAGTTGTTGTTATTAGATGCTATGTAGTCGGTACTGTCCCATAGCGACCTTATGCACAGCATAACAAAACACTGCCCTATCCTGGGCCAATCTCACAATTGTTGCCACACTTGAGTCCATCGACACTGCCACTTGGCCAATGTATCAGACCCTCCACGGCACCAAACATGATATCCTTCTCCAGTGACTGGTCCCTCCTGACAATATGTCCGAAGTATGAGAGATGAAGTTTGGCCATTTTGGCCTCCAAGGGAAACTCTGGCTGGACTTCTTCCAAAACAGATCTATTGGTTCTTTTGGCAGCCCATGGCACTTTCAATATTCTCCTCCATCATCCATAACTCAAAAACATCATTTCTTCTA